GATATTTGTATTGTAAGAGACATGAGGCTCAACTGATATCCATTTCTCTACTAAAACAGAATTTACATAAAACCGAAAAACGAAAAATTGCATAAAAAAAATAAACATAAAGAAGAATTTACATAAACCAATGGAAATAGGTTATATCAAGATTATCGCATAGTTTATCATAAAAAACTCGTAAACAATATAAAACGTGTGCCTTCAGATCAAATATGATATTCAAATTTCAAACCAAATACGGTAGCACAGCCAAGCCTACTAGTCTAATCACCTAAATAAGAAATCATTTTATGTCCATCAATCATTTGAAATGTTCATCCAACTCTATATTTTCATCTTCATAAAAGCAAAAACAGGGAGAATTCATGTAACTTGGAGTCAAAACAAGAGAGATTTATGCGTGGATTGACAATGGCTTTTTAAAGGCTTGATTGGATACAAAAGGGTTTGTCCATTGCAAATGGAGTTGGAATAGTCATTGTTGACAATTCTCCTGGCATAGTGCTAATATGGACTAGATCAAAATGGATCAATTAAATTTTAGTGCTTCTTCTATTAGTGAAGTTTCTAGAAAAAAAATATATCAAACGATGCAATGCACCTTGGGTCGCTACGGAAACATCCTCCTTGTATAATTACAAGGGTAAGGTCTGCGTACAACTGACCCCCAGACCCCAACCAGTTGGGAATATACTGGGTGTGTTGTTGTTGTTGTTGATCGGATACAAAAGGGAATATGAAATAATTAGCAAGGTTTTAGAATTTTACATATATACTTGTAATTAGAAGAAGTTAAATGGAGAACAAAACAAATAGAGAAAACTGGAAAGTGAGGAAAAAACAGCAGTTGTGAAACCTTAAAACGGAATTCACTGAAATAGCAAAGAAATTGGGTCTAGACTCAAACGAGTCAAGTGAGTCGACTCATAATTAAATCATTGCAAATAAAAATGTCGCCTACAAAACTCGTAAGCTTCAACTTACATCCCTAACTCAGACGACTAATACAGTCTTCCTCCGACTCAGTACATCTCACGAGTCGGCTCGTTCTACTCCCTTATAGTTATAAAGCATTGTATCAGCCTACTCCAAGATTAAACAACACCAGACGAGGGAGAAGAATAATGATGTCAATACGAAATAGAGACAAGTACAGTATATCTTTGAAACCACTTGTGTGAATTAGTGTAAGAATCAATTTTATATCAAAGACCAAAAATTCAGTTGATTGATCATGTCAAGTTAGGACTTGGACTAACTAGCATTATGAAATTGACCCTGATTGGAATGAATTTCTTTTTACTTTCACGATGCATTCAGAGAATGTTGACACAAATTTCCATTTATCCGTTCACCATAATAAATCTGAAGGGTTACCAACATGTTCAGGAGCAAATATGAGGGGTTAGTTACAGGAGATTTGCACCACTAAAGCTAGAGATTTCTGTCTGGCCTATCAAACTCGTCGACTTCATAAAAAGTAAGTAAACCTCCAAGTTAACTGCTCTTTTTTGTAATAGATGCAAAATAGACACGTTAACTTATATGCAAGGAATGCTCTTATCAGCTTAACTCACAACACATGAGTATACAATGGTAAAGGAAATAATTTATTTTTTTTACCGTCAACTGATCAGTGAATAATTTTTGGTCGCACAACAATCAATTCTCTTCAAATACTTGGCACCCATAAACTAACATCATCAAGTAATTTTATAGCCAGTTAACAACAATTACAAATCCATTATATAAGCAATCGGCAATTAAAGTCACAAACATAACATGTCCAACTTAAATCGTATGACCCTCAAGAACTCATCGAACAGACAAAATCGCCTATATTAGATAATTGCACTCTCATAGTCCCAGCAATAACCCACCACCACCACATCTATCTCAAATGATAAAATCAAAATCTCACACTCTTACAAGTATAGCACAACAGAATTATCGACTTCAAGGCAAACCCAACAGATGCGTTAACAATGTAACTCAAAGAACTCACCTGATTATTGTCATTGCTGCCCAACAACATTCTCCAAGTACCACTTATAAGTGCCTTCAAGCCCATCTTTGAGAGAAATCTTGGGCTCCCATCCCAAGCCTGCGAGCTTCGAGCTATCCATGAGCTTCCTAGGCGTACCATCAGGCTTGCTCGAGTCCCAAACAATCTCCCCATTATACCCAACCACTTCCTTAACAAGCTCAGCAAGCTCCTTAATGGTAACCTCCTTTCCACTCCCCACATTCACATGCTCCAAACCACTGTAATTCTCCAATAAGAAAACGATGGCGTCCGCCAGGTCATCGACGTGCAAGAACTCGCGCAGTGGGGTCCCACTCCCCCAAACCACCACCCTCTCGGCGCCATTGGCTTTGGCCTCGTGAAATCTGCGCAGCAGGGCTGGCAGGACGTGTGAGTTCTCCGGGTGGAAATTGTCGTTGGGGCCGTAGAGGTTGGTGGGCATGGCGGAGATGGCGTCGAACGAGTGCTGGAGGCGGTAGGCCTGGCACATCTTGATCCCGGAGATCTTGGCGACGGCGTACCACTCGTTGGTGGGCTCGAGCGGGCCGGTGAGGAGGGCGGACTCGGGTATGGGCTGCGGGGCGAATTTGGGGTAGATGCAGGAGGATCCGAGGAAGAGGAGCTTTAGGGT